CAGTGATTTTCTTTTAGATATTTCACTGATTACTCCTGACTCTTAAATTGCTCTAAATGTTAAAAGTATTAATATACCTTAAAGCCGGTCTTAAAATTTTTGAAGGTACAATGCACAATATAAGGTACAGAAATAATACAATGAAAAAAGATGGCTTGTTATATATGATGTGAGATACACTATTCCAAATTAATTTTTTTTTGTCTGAGGTCAGTATTTCTTTATGTATAATAAATCTTGAATGTTTTGCAAGTACAGTATCATCTGTCTGTACAGTTTAAAACACTGTATAAATTATCAAAATTTATTTTTTTAACCCTGGATGTGGAAATTGAGCAAATATGATTCTGTAGAAAGTTCTAGTTGTTTATTGTTTCTGTTGTTTATTTTTTTAAGAAAGCTTTTTCTTCTATGAAAATATCAGAGCTTTGTATTGTGCACTGATTTCTTTCATCAGCTGCATAACACCAAGACAAATAAGTTTTGTCGTATATTGTAAGATATAGCAGTCATTGTTCTACATTGTTAGTTCTTACTTTGAAGTTCTCATTTATTGTTTACATCCTTCTTGCCCTTCCTTGCTTCCTCCCTCCCTCCCCCATATAGTCATAGACTTGGAAAAAAATGTGGCAAACAACAAGTACTATTTTGTCAAATATCCCCCTCAAAATCTCTGGATGTTAAACCTTCAAGATGCCACCTCTGGCCTAAGGGTGATCCCGGTAATGAAGATGAGTGAACAGTGATCAGTAGTTCAAAGCTCTTTCTGATAAATATTGTTAGTCTACTTATTGATTTATTTTTAAATCAGGTTTTTAAGTATTTCTACAGATTTTTGTAAATGGTGACAAGATGAATGTTTGTCTTCTCTCATGAAAACCTGAGATAGCAATTTTTTTGGCTAAAGATTTATGGCAGTTGTAGATTAGACTCTATCAGTTTGACAATTTATTAATTATATTTTCATAGCACCTAACCTGTACTATGAAAACATAGGACAGTGATAGGATGAAACCCCATTTTCAGGTAACTATTTGCTAGGTTTTGTGGTGTTTTGTTTTTTTAAATTAGGCAGAAAGTGTGACTAGGCACATAAAAGCAGTTCTGTTGATACCACCCTCAATGGCTTTAAATAACAGGGACAGCACAGCTGTTTGACATCAGTATTGTTTACATGGCCTTAGGGTTTAATTGCCTCATACTCTTTGTAAGGAGAATAAACAATGACAGAAATCCAAAGGAATGATGTTCAGGAAACAGCAATGGCTGCATTTCATACATAGTTGCAAACTTCTCAACTGTATTTAAATATCTACACTTTTTTTTTTTGTCTGAATGGTAACATGCCATAAATTTAATGTTCTCTGTCTCTAAACTGGTAACAAAATGTATTAAAACTGATGAGCATGAGCACAGTTCATTCACCTTGTTAGTAGCAATTACTTTTCTAAGTTGGTTTTATCTATTTTCACTAAAACTTGTGAAGGTCTTTTTTCTGTTGTAGGTTATTTAGTTTCTCAATATGTGTTTAATAAGTAAAGTAAAGCTGAAGTGCAAAGGGCACTTTACAGAAGAGTAGCACATAAAGTTACAAAGCGCTATTCCACAGGAAATTGAGACTAACATAGCGAATGAGGTTTGACATTTGGTAACTACAGATATGCGGTTGACTCAGTTTGGTATGGTTTTAATTTGAAATTAGTATTTAATAACATGTTTAAACTTTGAAATAGATGGGGAGAAGTTTCACTCCCAGTTATGAAGTGATGAGCCCATTTGCTTCAACCCCAGCCTTAATGAGATCACTTTTTAAAATGTGTTTACATGACTCAATTTTTTTATCTACTTATGTGGTGAGATTGGAAGTCTGCCTTACACAAAGGGTGGGTCAAAAAGCAGATTTATAAATGAAACCAGTACTCCAAGCTTTGCTATAGGACACTGTTTTGTTGTCCTTATGCTTTCTGGCTCTCCCAGGAGTTTTCCACAGAAGAAATGTATGCATAGGATTTTTAAGCCAGTATATCTTTTTACAGTGAATGCTCAGATTAACACTTCCAGAAGTTGTGATGAAGATACATGTATGTCTTGGAATGATGGACTGTTATAAAATTTAAATGTTATTGGAGAATTTATCTTTATTTTTTTACCAGTTACTTATTACAAATCTAGCTTTCCTCTAAAGAATAGCTGAAAACTCCATGTGCGCATCAACTATTGAATTTCAAACACTTTAATATGGATCTCACATTTATTTATGTAGTACGTCCCGAAGGGGCAAAATTATGTAAGTTGTAGACAAAGAACACAAGGCAGGAAAACAGGGTGCTGAATCTTCGGAATTTCATTATATTTATGGAAGTTGAGAACCTTGACTACTTTTGAAGGTATCACCTTTTCAGCCCTCAACTGATGAGGTCTTTGGGATTTTTCAAGTAAGATATGTATATTTAGTTATACATATAAATTTTATATATAAATACATTTGTATTTTTATATATTTGTAAAATTTTTTTTTTTTTTTAATATTCAAAGAAGTAGTAATCTTTTGTGATTAGAGTGTTTGCCTTCATTAAGAGCTGACTTCTGTATCTTGGACACATTTTTCACATTTGTAATTTGATTGCAACTGTCTGTCCTTGGAAAGTAGTCCCAAAATCTGTGAAATTTTAAGGGATGCCTGTTTTACTGGAAGTAGTGCAATGGATTAATGAACTAAAATTGATGAGAAGTAGTTCAAGTGCAAGGATGGTGTTAAGTGGAAGATTAATGACAAGGAGTGGGAGCCAAATTCAAATACAGGAATTTCTGCTGTCAACCTGTGGGGAAACAACCACGTGTCTGAGAAGAATCACCAGCATTAGAAAATATATGTCCATATTTCATACAAAATAAGTTTTAGAGTTTGATTTATTTTTATGTTCTTTCAACCTACAGAGTAACAAAACGTAGTCCAGATCTCAGCTGACGCAAACCGCCAAGGATTAATTTACAGCAGCCAAGGCATTTTCACTTTATTAATGAGTTTTAAATGTAATGTGTTTGTGCAGATTTAATAGCTATGTGAGTGCAATAGCTATATATCAGTAATTCATAAGCTTTCAGTGTAATTCAAGTAGATTGGAGTCCCGTGTTTAGTTTCTAGTATTTGTGTTTTTACAAGATCTTCATATTTACTGATGGAATATTCACAAACCGTCGATCTGGAAGTGGATTACTCTGCTGTGTTTTTTAAAATCAAGACTTATTTATCACCTGGTACTAAGATTTTCTTCTATAATGTCACTTTGTTGGAGGGATATATGCATATACTTCTTTTCATATATACATATGCATATATTTAATGAATAGAACGTACATTTTTATCATGATACTTACTTCTGGATGGTAAAAGAGATGGCTGACAGCTGAGAACACTGTTTTCTTTGGATTAATTTGTCAATCTAACTTTTGTTCCCCTGGTAATTTGCATAAGACTGTACCTATTTAGTCTTGGGAGATAGGTATCCTCTTTATATGCAGGCATATGCTTTGAGTATCCGTGGATGTGGAGTCCAGAAGTTGAAAGGGTTTGCTGCTCTTGCTGCTTCTGTTTCTAGTTCTTGAGGAGTCTGGTATATTTGCTGCACAGCATTTTGCATTTTTGAGTTGACTTGGATATTTGTGGCTCACATTTTCAAGTTACAATAACATAGTGATATTTTCAAGTCACAATAAACAGTAATATTTAACAAAAAGTAATCGTATAAAAGAACTTGTTAATTTGCAGTGTGTTTATTGTTTGTATATGTTAGATAAAGATTCATGCCTGAGTTACTACTTTTGTTAAGTCAAAGGCATAAAAATAAAGACAGAATGAATAATGCTTGTTGGTTCCTTTAGAGTTTGTCAACTGAGTATATTAGAAGTCAGGTTCATAGTTGAGATAAACAAAAATTTGAGTATGAAAATAGCTGAATGGTGATTGGGAGTCCAGTGTCCAACTCCAAGGTGGGTGGACCTCAGCATCACGGGCTCTTACAACATCAAAAGGGCAAATACAAATTTTTCTGTTGGCAACAGATCACTTAAAGTCGTCCTGGGGAGATGGTGATATGCTCCAAAGATTTTGGACTGTCCTTGCTAAAGTGAGGGGGTTTGTTGGGTTCTGTCACTCTGGGGAAGCTTTTCTGTCCATTTTGCTTTCTGAACAGTAGAAATGATTAAATGTAAAAGCGGAATAGCCTGAATCTGAACACGAGGTGTCACATTTCTTTTTTAGAAGACTCTGAGAAAGGCAAAATACCTATTATATTTGCAGAGTCCTGAGGACTGTCTTTAATGGTGTACTGAAAATGTGCAAGAGGTTTTAAAACACTTTAAAGATGAAAGCTTGGACTATAAGTAAGAAGTGGCAATGTGTTAATGTGTTGGAAGGCTTCAAGTACATTACTTTGAACAAACACAAGCAGAAGCAGGAAATGTATTTTAGCAATCAAATTCAGCAGTAGTATCCTTAATCCCATTATAAGTCACCTTTAAAAGGAAATGTGTTTATGATGTGAACTCTATGAATAATAGAAAACAAACAAAAATAAGCATGCATCTGGGCTAAAGGACATTCTTTGTGTAAATATAACACCTGCATAAAGAATAAAAGCATGTTTCCCATACTTGTATATTAACAGAAATATTAAAAGTTTCATTCTTAGGTGTTTATTTAAATAAAGGATGATAGGTTTTTCTGGGCAGTAGCAGTTGTTTTTATTGCCAACTAAAACATCTTCCAAATTCATTTTCGAAATAAATATTTTAGGTTGAGATCTTTTCTAACAGTTTTATCAATTACATATGAAAATACTGAATATAGATTTTTTTTTTTTTTCATAGCGGTTATTTGTTAGTGACTTCCCATTGCCTTCTCAATGACATAAGTGAGTAATTCAGAAGTTACGCAAAGGTCATGAGTATAATCTATTCTTAGTTTTAAGTTATATATCTGTTCTATTTTCCTTTTAAAGCTGGACATGAAAATGAAAGTAGTGGAAGGTAAATTTCATGAGGAAAAACTTAAATTACAGCAGAAGCATGATACTGATGTTCAAAAGGTAAGAAGAGTTTGTATTTTTTTTTCCCCAAAGACAATGTATTAAACAGAATAATAGAGAATCTGATTATAATAAATAATTAGTAGTTTAACTTCTTCACAGTTGCAATTAATGTTCCTTTAAGATTGTAGGTAACAGTTTGCATAAGCAGATAGGAATGCAGAATATTCTATGATAAACTTATGAAGGGAAAAAGTCTTACAGAAAGCAGAAGATAATACAAGGTGATTTGTTTGTTTGTTTGAACAGGACAACCTATTTTACCAGCTTAACAGCTGCTGTGGATTCCCATTCTAATGAAATCATAAACTCATGATTCTTCTTTTCAGAGAGAAAGCACTTGTATTACAGAAAAATGTGAACAAAAATAATTAAATTATGGACAAAATGCAAAAAATAGCATTTGAAAAATCTACAAGTATATCACAGATGTTCCCACCAATACAACTGTAGTGCTTGTTCTCCTGTCTCTATTTTGACACTGTATCTTAAAGCATAGGCTGCTCAATAAGCAGTTTGTTATTTATGTTACTGCATTGTTAAAGCTGTATGTGGCTTTTAATTCTTCACAGCAATAAAACGACACCAGATACACTTCCTTTGGGTTAAGTTAGATTTGTCTTTATTGTGTTGCGTAACACCGCTTTTGGGAAGATTACAAAAAGACTATCAAAGACCATTCTGTTACTTTTAATACCATGTTTTAAACGTGGGGTTGAATTCTGCAAGGTCCTAAGAGCCTTCTGAAGCATTCTGATCCCTGGAGAGTAATGGGAGATAAATGCTCGGCATCAAGATCATAAGGACTTACCCTACTGTAAGCTTTGCATTACTGAGTACCTCTGTTTTGTTTCTTAAGACTGAGTCACAGACTTGGAGGAAGTTAGTTGACACAACAGTATGACACATCAAAGCCTCCTGAAAGGATGTTAATATTTGGTCAGGTGCATATTTGGCTCATCTGTTCTCAAAGTCTGCAAGCATAACTAGCGAAGCTGAGAGTCTAAAGGAAACAGCTTTGTGAGAATTAGAAATAGTTTAAAAGCTTTCTCATCCCTTGAGTTGTCATCCTTTTCTAACTCATGTTAGAATTCCATCTTTTGAAGTTGTTTAATAATGTTGGATATTTTAGAAAAGGTTAAATAGTGTCGTATTAGTCTTTAAAGACACAAAACATTTAATGCAGATGGAGTAATATTGTTTTAAGATGAAAGCTTCTGTTTGATGAGAGATTTGGGGCACTGTTATAAACTTTCTGTGAATTTAATGTTTAAGACAAACATAAAGTTTAAATTAAAATACTCTCTCAAAGTATTTAAAAATATTCAAGCTTTTTTTTTTTTTTCCCCAAATCAGCGTGCACCGAAATGTGAATGTAGCTGCACCTCATATACTTGCTCTATTCTAACCCACTGTTGCTTGGAATACATGCCAAGAACAGCAATTGGTGAAGTACAAAACAGTGTAATGAAGTTCACCAATTATTTAAGTATTTCTTAAACCTGCTGAGAATTTTAGATGCTTTTAAATAGTATTAGGCAACATAAATATGAAAAGGGAAACAAATCCGTTCTATTTGCAGTAGTAGTACTATGAAACTTCCAAACTCAACAAAAGGAACGTTGCATTTGCCCAAGTTTAAAAGAAAACAGACTGCCTTAAAACATGAAATTCCATTTTAATCTACTGCCTACATTTATCTAAATCAATCCTTTGTTTATCACTTGGCAGAATGAGCTGTGAAAATTACTTAGGTTTAATCACTTAGACCTTTATGACTTGAGCACTTCTTGAAGGCAGCTCCTTTGACAAAGATCAGTGTGTACTATTTTGTGCACTGATTGTAGTTCTAGTTTTTGGGGCTTTTGTTAAAGTATTTTGAATATTCCCTACAGATTTTGGATAGGAAGAATGATGAAATTGAGGTATTGAAGTCCCTCTACAAAAACAAACAGAATGAAGCTGAGGAGACAATTAGGAAACTGGAGAAAAAAGGTGATTTTTACCTTTGTGGTTGTTTTCTGCATGCTGGTATTATACTGCATCCTTCTTGTGGTGATAGGCTTACATGTTCCTTCTAGGTGCAGATGTCCCTTTCTTCTTCATTTATAAGTCTTGACCTAATTTTTCCTTTAGATTTTTAGAGGCTTGTCCAGTTGCCTTTGCTGTCCAGTTTCCAAACCAATTTTTTCCAAGAGTCAGTATAATCTTACGTTTAATACGTGGAGCTTTGAGAGTCACCAAAAAAAAATTCCTTTGATGATACCATAGTATTTTGACCACTTCCAAACTTTTTGGAATCTCTGGCTCAAGGTTAATTTATTTTTACATTCAGTACATTTTAATCAAACCACAATGAATTATTTATTTAGGACTATTGTGGCAAGAGATTTCAAACATGAGTAGTAGTCTTGAATATGTCATAAGTACAAAATTGGGCCTGAGTGTGGCTTGTCAGCAGTTTTTGAATGTTACTTTCTTTTATAATTCCTTGGAGTCCATTTACACTATGGACTAAACCACAATGTAAAAGAATAAGCAAGATTGGTAACCTATGTACAAAAAGGGAGAGAGTTCCACATATATTGTTTCCCGCTCCTTGGCGAAGTAAATTGTCCAGCAAGGGATCAGGAGCTTCTGCTGCTGGCTGCACTCAGCAGTGACACGTGTTTCAGTCACCTGCACTCTTGCCAGGTAGTGAAAATCATGTCACTTTTGAAAACTGAGCATCTACTGCTTTGCTTTCCACCAAGTTAGTCAGACTGTGAATTCTTCATGCGATCACTTGCAATTTAAGTTGGGGAACTTAATTTTCTTGTGTATGTTGGGCATTCAACCTTCACAAGAACCTTTTCTCCTAAGAAATATATATAAAATCAGGTTAAAAATGCCCATTTTCTTCAGGTTACAGAATTGATGTGCATTTACTGCTCTAAGGAAAACTCACTGCAAAATACCTTGTAAATACAGTAGAGGAGAGAGAACACCTTGTAATAGTTTGGTGACACAGCAAAACATCAGAAAGCCAGGTCAATTGGAGAATTGATGTAATCTGATTGTATCTGTTGCCAACACCGAAAAATCCCAAAGGTATCTCTTGACTGGTTGTTTATTTTCCCATTTTTGACAGTTCAGACTCTTGTTCGTGAGTCACAAGTTGTCAGAGAAGCAAAAGAGAAGCAGATTGTGGAGTTAAAGAAGATGTGTGAGCAAAGCAACGATTCTTTGAACAACGAGTGGGAGAAAAGGGTAATGAATAGTACTTGCTTTCTTTGAAACACTCCTACAGTATATAGCTGGGATAATAAATTTTGTCACCTAACATATTCTTTACTTTTTTTTTTTTTTTTACTTTCAGTGATATTTCCTTATACTGATTATTTTTTTTTCTGGAGCAGTCTTGCAAGACTCTTCTTGCTGATGCTTGCACACCCACACCCACCCAGCTGGTCAATCTGTTCCTGGGGTTCATCTGACTCTCTTGGCAGGGCTCTGGATGTATTAGGGAAGTGTTTATTTCTGCTTGGCCTGACGTGGAATTTTAATCTTGGTAAACCTGCTGCTACCTGCTGCCACGGTGATTCCTTTGAACTATTATTTTTGTGTTGGGTCATGAATTCTTCAATGCATTTTTATTTATTGTTAGACTCAAGACAGCAGCAAAGCAGAGAGAAAAGCATGTTTATTGCAAGACAGCTTCACCTTTGTCCAGATTATTGTCAGTGTTTTTCTTGCTTACCCTTCTTGGGAGAGGGAAGGTCACAAAAAGGGCAAAACCACCTCCTTTTGTAGTTGAAGTATGCTGTTTAATTTAATTTTTTTGCAGCCCTGCATCTGGAAGTGATGTTGGTTTTAATTCTTGTCTTGTAAGAGATAAATCATAAATCTTGTCCTTTGTGCTCAAGACTTTGATGCTTCAGTGTTAGGTGGGGTTTTTGTTTTTGTTTCAGAAGCATTATTTTCAGCCCAAAGTCATCCTACCTTTTGCAGTTACCTAGCAAGTGCTGTTCCTACAGCTGTAATTGTCATCAGTGATGCCAGTGTGTAAGCAAGAAGGCAAATTAAAATTCTAATATTAATTTTAACTTAATGAAATTATAGAAGTGAAATCTGTATTTTATGGAAAAACATGAATGGTGGGAAGTTTGGTGGAAATATAGTAAAAGTTAACAGTGAAATATTTTTATAACTTCAAATACTACTACTACTTCTGTGTATTTTTTCCTTTGAATACATGCAGGTTATTTTAATATATATTAATGACAGTAACACAAATATTACTATAGTCTGTTGTACAGGAAGTAGAGACATTTCCAGAGTTTTGGGGTTTATTTATATCTTATGTACCTGGAGAGAAATATTTATTTAGTTACTTACCCAGGTTATTTTTAAAAGGATCTCAAATTCAGCAAATCTTTTGAACACCACAGTTATATACCTGATACATAAAACTTATTAGCATTCATATCTTTTGGATAAAAAATTTTGTTATGTTACTGTACACTGTTGAAGTCTGTTAAATAATGGTCCAGATTCACAGACACCCATGATTTTGCTAGTCTATATGTTGTAAAGAAAAATCTATGCTTTTGCAAATTCGCCTGATTTTACCAGTGTGTTTAGAATAATGCTTTTATTTTGTATATTGAAGCTTTCTCCTTCAGCTGTGAAATGGATTTGTTAGGAACTTGAGAAATATATAATGGCCGTTATACAACCAATACACCATGCAAGTATTGTATGCTAATTTGCCATGACATTATTCTTTACTACTGTATAGATGGAAAATTTAGATTGGCCGCTTAGCTGGAAAGGGAGGCCACTGGTGTTTAGAATGCAAATCAAGGGTTAGTAATGACATAAATAATCCTTTCATTAGACAAGTAGATCGTCAAGGCTCTCCAGCTTCTTACAAACTGAGAGACAGATAAACTGGCAGTGTGTCTGAAGACAGTGTTAGTTTCAGTAATAGAAATTCATTAAGGCAAAAATTTATATGTGTGTTAGTATTCTGCATGGGTAAGTTATGCCCTCTATGCATTTTTAAATAACTTCAAAATTACCACTTTTTATTAGAGTCACAGTAAACTTATTTAGTGAGTCAGTGATCTAGTTTTGTCGTGGAGGACAGAAATGTGGCTCGTGCTTGTTAGTTATTCTCTTTAGATACTATAACAATATAATACTTATAAATGCTAGTTTTATATTCTATTTATTATTTGGTAATGTTTTTGTGATGCAGCTTCATAATGCTGTGGCTGAAATGGAGAAGGAGAAATTTAATATTCGGAAAAAGCATACAGAAGATATGCAGGAACTGCTTGAAGACACCAATGCTCGTCTTGGCAAAATGGAAGAAGATTATTTGGAACAGATAAAGTCAACTGTAAGTTTTTTGTAAATATACCATGACAGCAAGTGTCTCTTGCAGTATTCCAGTTTCATGCATCTGTGCAAAAGTGTACATAAATAATGTTGAGCTGAGAAATATTTCTGATAGTGCAGTGCAGTTGTTCTATCTTGAGAGAGAAGTGTCCTGGCAGCCAGTCCAGCCAAGGACTATTTTCCCCTGGATAAAATTAATCGAAGTACAGCCCATCAATGAATATTACACAGATACGTATTTGTATTGAAGGACTGTTTCTAGCATTTCTCACTGGTTTTGATTCAAGTTAGCTGGACTTCTGTGTCTGTGGGTTTGTAGACCATGCAAAAGGATCTGTTTTCACAGGTACATGTGACTTCTTACCCATCTCCTCTTCAAATGATCAAATGTTTGTTAGATTAAATATCAAATGAAAAGGATTTTTAAAAGAATTATTGTATTATTCTAAGTTACAGCATTTCTTTCCTAGAATAATTAGAAACACATCAACAGGTGTAATCTGGATTTTGTGCCTGCTATGCAAATGATGTAAAAACCAAAAAATTACAGGATGCTTTCTTGAGGATACTGATTACTTTTTATCACAATGGGGTATGAAGAAAATTGAATGAGTGAAAAGACAATGTCAAACAAAATGTATTCCTTTATTAATGAATGTTGAATTTAAAAATTAGCATTCAGATCATGTCATAGGTATGTCATAGGTAACAGTAAATATAGAGAAAAATGGACACAGTCTGTCAGCAAGATTGAATTTAAGAACCATCAAAACTAGACAGATCTTGCTGAGCAGCTTCTGATTTAATAATTAAACAAGGTAGAGTTCAAGGCAGGGCTTAAGATGAAAGACTAGACTGTCACTGGAAATTAGTTTTCTTTTTTTCTCTTTCTTTCTCCTGACTCTTTTTTTTTGTTGTTGGTATTTCAGAGTTTCCTTGTTCAGAGTTTCACGTTGTCAAGAATGCTATTTCTGTTAGCAAGTGAAATTTGGCCGAACAATTTAACTAATGCCATAGGACTGATAAATAGAGTTTTGTGCATTGAACAAGCATTAACTTTCTTGAGGGGTGGGGGGCCAGAGAGCTATTATGATGTTTGGTGATATGTTAGGTACCTCTCTTTTTTTCTTTACTTTTGTCTTTTGGGATGGTGATCTTTTTTTTTTTTTTTTTTTTTTTTTTTTATTAAAAAAAAAAAAAAAGAAAAAAAGAAACTCCCAAAATAAACAACACGACCACTCCTCCCCCCCCAAAAAAACAAACAAAAACCAAAAAAACCCAAAAAACTGACCAACTGAAAAACAAACCAAAACCCATACAGTGAAACTGGCTTTGCAGTGATGGAAAAGTTTGTTGTACTATGTTTATGAGATCTTGAGCCCCTTGACCAGTTCAGGTGACCATTCTGGCTCTGCGATGTTCTTGCACTAGTCCAGGCTTATTGAACGATTCTGTGGCAGCTGGGGCACTGACTTGAGGTGGCAGATGTTTGAATTTTTATTTTACTTTAACAGAGGGTGAAAATACTTTTCCACTTCCCTTATCTTCAGACCTTTGTTAATATGAAAATAGCTATGATACATATATCCTGGAAGGACGACTGTGTCTTACTTTTTCATTCCAGCCTCCTGAGGAGTTCAACTCTCATTTCTGTGCATATTACGATAAATTTAGGTATGAATGGCAAGTAGTAGACTAGTCTCGTGCTACCTGCCTGTTCTGCTAATTTTTAAAATTGTTTATATTAGGAGATGAAGTTCTGAGAAAAAGATACAACTTTTGATAGGTGTTTGTCATTTCTTGAAAGGAAAGCACTGTAATGAAACAAATGAAATGGAGAAGAGGATTAGGGAAAGGTATAAGAGCAGAGACCTGAGGAATGCACTCTCTGTCCTGGTAGGGATTTGCTGTATTCCTGTGCACACCACTTTCCTTTTCTGTGTGCTTCCCTTTTCCAGTAATGAAGAGGAGATGATATAGTTACCTTACAAGATGATTGGTGACTCAGTTAATATTTGTTAAGTGATTTGAAGCACAACTAGGTAGCATTTTCACTGTTAATGTAGCATTTGTATTATAAAGTTCTTCTTGGATCTTCCAAATCCATAGCAGATATTGCTGTGTCTTATTGTTTGCATCTTTGGATGTGGTTTTGCTGAAGTATACACATAAAAGGCAGTTGTTTGAAATCTGTAATTCTTTAGCAACCTAAGTACATTACTCCTTGTTTTAATTTAGAAATTTGACATGCGTATTTTTGTCTGTAAACCTATAAAGTACTTACATTTTAGCATTAAAAAGCTACAGATTTCATTGGATGCTATACAGTTTAATATCTTTTCTATCTGACTTCTACAGCTGCTCACCACCAGAATGATCAGTAAAATCTTTTTATATACATATAGTTTTTTCCTCAAATACTCTTTCCCACATGCAGGTTGTACATATTTCCAGTGATAACACACTTATTGGTTAATGAAAGGTCTGTAAATGCTTTATGTGTGTTATCATCCATTACAGTTTTCAATAGAAATCTCTGTCATTTCTCCCATATTAAGAGATTTGTATTTTAGAAATCAGTTGCACACATTGTTTTGCTTAGAGGAGAAGACATGCTCCTTTGGCAGGGAGGAATAGACATCCATATTTTGAAGATTTATTTTTTATAAAGAACATAAAATTTACTGTCATGATTCATGACAGCTTTGCTATTGTAACTCTGTGTCTCTGGACCACCAAAGAACCTTGTTGCTCTAGGCTACTAAATAACAACATGGGTATACCCTAATTTACTCTGGTGTTTCCTCAACAATGACCTATTCTTTTAGAACCAGACGGTCAAAAAACTGGATGCTCGTGTCCAACAGTTGACTGTTGAGGCTGAAAATAGTAATTTACAGCGTCAAAAATTATCTCAAGAAAAGACTGATGCAGAACAACGCTACCAGACGGTATGCTCTGAACTTCAGGAAATGAAAACCAGGTAATTAAATAGCAGTTGCTGTTTTTAACATTGAGGAATATGGAATTTCTGAAAGCAAACATTATTTATTTTATTTCAAGAACACAGTGAATGATAATTGGCATTAGTAAAATGTCACAAAAAATGTATTAATTGATGCAAAACTTATTTTGGAACTGACCCAAATGACCATTGTAAGGATTATGTTAGTTTTCCATTGTTTATAAGCATTTTATTCTGTTAAAATGAGCATGTGGTACAGACAAAATTGCATACTCTGTAGAGTTGATACTGAGCAGGTTAAAATGCCCAAATATGAAAGCAGTTTCCATATTCTGTTTGCTTACTACTTGTAGGCACAGCTTACTTCAGAAAGACAAGGACCATATTATACAGGAATATGAGGAGAACATTCAGCAGCTACAAAGTAAATATGATGCTGATATCAATTTTATAAAGCAGGAACATGCTCTCTCTGCAGCTAAGGTATGCTTCCACATATAATAAGCATTAAAATGTTGTTTACTTTTTAAGTGGTCTCCTCCATTTAAATGTAACGTTTATGAATAAATCCAAGGAACTGTTCAGTTCCTTAAGTTATTCGTGTGCATAAGTTTTTTTAAAAAATGTGATGTAATATTTTAATTCTTAGATTTGACTGAAAAGTCATCTGAAGTTGACTGATAATTTTGTGGTGTGTGTGTATCTGTACATACAGGTGGATTTTCCGTAGTTGATTCAGATAAGGTACAATTAATATGTGGATTTTGTTTGTGCTTCTGTAAAAATTCCAGATACCAGAGGACCTCAGCACACTTAAACACTTAATGTTTTCATAAGGCCTCTTCAATGAGGGAAAATATCTTTTCCAGAAACAAACTGTCTTGCAGGCCTCTTAATATGGAACATTATGTTAAATATTTATTTGTTTAAGAAGTTATTTTTAAATTTTGCAAACATACATTCCACCCAGCATGTATTAATTCTAGCTTGTTTCTGTAGAAATCAGGCTGTTATCTACCAATACATGTAGGTGAATATATAGAATATATTTAATGTAACATTCAAGTTAAATAATTGTAGAAAAAGCTTATGTTTTAAATACAATCTGCTAATCCTTAGAGCCATAGGACAAATGCGGTCTTTTGTATTTATTTACTGGAATTCTGGGAGCTTTGATGGTACTTTACTCCATTTAATTTCAAGGTATTTTTCTTTCTTTCAGTTGTGAGTACCAAAGTTTTTTTATTATTATTAGTTTGTGGGTTTATTGTGGTTTTGTTTACATTTCTAAGTTCTCCAGACAGACGGGAGTGATGTATGCAGAGTTGTGAGCTCATACAGGTTTTTTTTCCTAAGTTGATAACTTTTTCCGATTTCCAGGCACCTTTGAGAAATAAATTTTAAAACATAAAAGATGTATCTGTAGAGCTAATGAGGAATGCAACACAGTAATTCCTTTTTTGTGTTAAATCCCTACAGGCATCTGATGAGATGGAAGAATTACAGCATACTGTGTCTCTATTAAAACAACAGTTACAAGATTCAGAACTTCAAAAACAGCAACAGCTGAGGGTGAGCCCTGAATTTCTTATTCAAGAATGACCAGCCCTTTTGACTTTTTCCAATGATTTGAATGTTTAGATAGCCATACCAATATGCACTTATATATAAATGTGCGTCTTTGTATGTATTTAATTCATAGAAATGTATAAAGTGTCACCTTATGCTTAAAGGTTGATTTAAAAAGCCTGGCTAAAAGAGATCACTTCATGGGTAAGAGCAGAATTGTCACAGGAACTTCATGACTGTTTGTTGTAATTCACATGTTAAACTAGTGTAATCAGTGGATTACAGAGATGCATGTCAAAGAATTATGAACTTTTTTTTATTTTTTCCTAAACTGTCAAGGTTTTTAAGTAAGTTTCAAAATTATTTGTATTTTTGTTGCTATTTAACAGTTCAGTTTATTTCATCTTTCTCTAGGCATCTAAATTAATCCTTCTATCTCAAGATAATGAGTTCCACATCTGTATCATGTATCCATCCTGTTGGAATTTTGGCATCTACTTTTCCTCTTTTGTCTTTCATTTCACAGTTGATGTAGTACAGGATGGCATTTTAATAGCTCAGGAGAACAAGTTGCTGTTTCTCTTTAGAAAACATGAATCATGACTTTTGAGATAGTTTTGTTATACATCAGTATTTTTACTGTTGGCTGAATTTTTTTTTTAGTCAAAGAATATTTAAAATCATACTAAAAAGTGAATTTTTAATTTTTATGGGCTGTTCTATATAATAGCAAATGTGTGTGTGCTTGCTTTGAAACTAAAGAAAAAGGTGATTTGTTTATTTAGGATACACATCTCTTTCTTTGCAGGATCAAGAATACAAGCTTCAACAGGACAAACTTCACTTGGAGCGTGTGTATGAAAAACAGGTAGTGTTTTCAGGAAAATATGCTATTTTATGCACATTTCCAATTTTGTTGTTTACAGAAGCTAAGGGTTTATATTCTGAAATCCTGAAAGTAGTAAATTTTGGAATCCAAGCATTTCACATGTGATAAAAAAATAATTGGACCGATTCAAGGAAGACCTGAAGTACAGCTATTTAAGTACAGAGATATCCCCTCTGATTCTAGGAATCTCTTGCCAAATGATGGGGCCTGGGAGAGCATTGCCAAACAACTGCCACTGTAAGGCTGTCCTGTTTGTGCACGCTTCCTTCGTTGGTATCTGATGTTAACTGCTGTTAGAGAAAAAATAATGAACTAAATTGAACTTAGCCTGTTGTCAGTGTTCATATGTTCTTCCATACTTCGTTTTCCCCTTTATAACTTTATTCCATACTTCTCCATGACTTGGATGTGTTCTCTACCTATTCTCAACACGCATTGTTTTTACATCAGAAGCTTAAATTAAGAAAATGTAATTTTCATGAAAACACTTCATTTTAAAGCACTTTGCAAAGAATGTCTACTCTTTTAGACTGTAAACATCAGCAGATTTCAAATTAAACTTCTATTTTAGTGACACTATATGTTCAACTCATGCAGCGTTTAGTAAGAGGGCGCGTTAGATGCCTATTGCATTGAAAGGATGTGGTACTCAAATGCGCCATTTCCAAATGTGGCAAATCTATAACCTAGAATAATAAATTGTGATCATAGCTACTCGTCATCGGGTAATAGTATTTGCAACATGAATTGTAATGAGTTTTTGGTTTGAGTTAGTGTCTTCTGCTGACTTGAAGTCAAATACTTTTTCATTCCAAGATGTGTTTTGGTCTAATCCTAGCCTACATGTGTCTTTTTAGACAAGTCATGGTTTTTATGTATGTTGGCCTCAAGAAAAGCCTAGGATTAGAGAGTAATGTTGGGGGTCAAAATAAAAATATATTAGCATTATTGGATATCTTCTCGCTATTGAAGTATAGTGGGCGTTGGTTTGTTGCAATACAACACTTGCTCTGCAGATAAGTACGGATTAAATGTGGCTGGTGATGTTTCCACGCACCAAGTCCAAATGCCATCAAATGGCTCTCATCTACACTATTAAACTTTACAAATTGGGACGGTGAGATGGATGGATTCATATTATCTTTCTGCAGTGGTGCCTGTGCTGTGTGAATCCTGAATGAGGTTTGAGGATTATTTGGGGGCATGTTGTTTAGCTTGGGCTAAGAGCATGTCAGCAATCGCTCTACACCAGTGAGCACTGATACTGAAGTTGGAACTGTGTCGGCAAGCAAGAAAGCAGGTCCTTTATTTTTAATAGATGACTTCACAGCAGTTTAAATCAAAATTTATGAATGAGTAACCATCCTTTCAAAAGAAAATCTTTGAGAAAGGAGGAGAAAAAAATGCATGTGAGCAGTCTGTGAATATAAAGCCATAAAACAGTATAGATTGTCCCATAAAATACTAAAACATGCTTGTCTTCAGGTAAAGGAATCACGAAGTCTCTGGTGCAATCTGTTCACTTAAGAACCTATCCATTATCTAATAATCTTTATTAGTCTACAGTGGCTGTTGCCTGCTAGGATATTTAAACATCAAACAAATAATAGGTAGTAACCCTAAATGTCACTGCTTGATTAAATGTGCTTATCTACTGAATCAGGAACCAGTTAGACTAAATGGTTTTACAAGCCAAGGAAACACCTGCTTTTTCTAAATAACCTACTGCTTGTTTTCAGAACATTCAGCTAAGCGTAAGAACAGTGACAGATTATTCCTGAGGGCCGTTCTCGAGTCAGCTGTTATACATATATATATATATATATGTATATATACACACACACAACTTTACCAGGTTTGGCAATACCTTCTTTACTCTAATAAACATCCCATCGGTTTGGAGGCTTTTTCAAACCAACTGAATATTCAGTTCCATGTAGTAAACACTTACGTGGAACTCTTTACAGTAGACAATCTCTAAATTTGTTTTGTTATTGGACTATGCTCTTATACTTCTGACTATACGCTTACTAAAATATGTTTTTCTCCATTGTAGTGACTTAATAGCATGTAACATTGCAAATGTTTGTAGGTGAATAAAGGATTTCCCGTGCTCCCTGTCTGATAAAGAAAAGCATGCTTAGTACATCACATTACCACATTGTTACTTGAGCAATCCTAAAAGCAAAACAAACTCTTGTACTTAATCTGCCTTTGGCAAAAAATATTATGAAAACCCATAGTTTGGACCATGCCTGGGAGGCTGCCAAATTCTGAAGCTGCTTTCCTCTCTTGATCTGGAAGTACCAGAGGGATGAACTCTTCATAAAAATGTCTATTCCTGGGTAGTGAATTTAGGAAGTGGGAGTCAGATTTTGTTCCATGCTTTTTGTGACTGTATTGCTTTATAGGGAGAGAAACAATTTCCCAGATTGCTAGGATGTGTTCCTTGTGAGTTTTTGAAAGCTGCCATATGCATTCTGCTTTGACTAAATACTAATAGGAATTAAAATAGTATTTCAAATTTAAATGCTAAATAAATTATACTGGGGAAGTTACAAAAACTTAGAGGAGAATTAAGGGGTCTCCAAGTTTTTTGTAACTGACTATCTTTAAGATATTTATAAAAGAGCTCTATTTATCTCACTTTTGTATACAAGTGTATATTGTAAAATATGTGTGTATAGATATTGTCTGGTGTAATGGCAGTTGCATGGAGGGGAAGAATTACTTGGAAACGTACCATTTGCTTGGGGAAAAGGAAAGGAAGGAGGATAAGCGGTGTGGCCAAGTGAAGGAAAATGGAGAGAGGTGGGACCCTGTGATGTTAGACAGTAATGAGCCTCTGCTGTGAAGCGGGAGATTTCCACACTGCAAGATTATTCAAGGTGAAGACATATACTCATGCTAGTCCTAGGTAGGAGATGATGGGGAGGAGATAGGAGGATGATGGGGCAGCTTTTTCCTGTCGTGCGAGGATGCAGAGGTTTTCAGGTTGCACTGGGATTGATTTCTTGCTACGTCCATTGGAGTGACAGACGACTCATTCTTCTGGTTTCACACTGTATTATGAGCAGCACATGGTCACAGTTTACTGTGGAATAATAATTGTTAGCTAAGATTCTCTGTCATTTTAGAAGTATCTGTGTGCTTTTTATAGGTTTGTTAGTTGTACACTTACACAAGAGTGCCATAGCCTGCATTTCCAAATGGTGTTTTCAATGTCTGAATGCAAAATGTAAAAATGAAATGTTTTGTGTAATGGTTCAGACACTCTGGTTTGATCTCACTGGGTCAGGAGTTCATTAGTAGTAAACCACTTTTCCCATTTTCCTTTTCTTAGGAGTATCTACCCTCAGCTAGTTAAGGTTTGAGTATGTATTGTTCTAAAGTAATGTTGTTTACTATCATTATGTTGTTTTTTTTATTGTTGTAAGACTTGATAAAAAGTAGTTCAGTTTATGTATTCACAAATGGTAAGTAGGAACGCTACACCATAGAGAATGTGTGTCATTGTTTTAGGCAGATTTCTGTATGCTTTCCTGTATTTATCTAAAGAAAATCTAGTCCCTTTTTATGTAATTATTGATATTTCTTTATTCTAATGAATATTAATTTTGAGAAGAAAGATAGCTCCATTGGCTATTTTCTCATACTTCATATCTTTGTTCATCCTTATTCTTGCATTATATGTAACTTTAGAAATATATAGATGGTTGTATACATCAGTGCAGAAGTAATAAACAAAATAAATAGTTTTTATCATTTAAAATGACATTTTTTAAAATCAGACTATGCTTTAGGTAAAATATGTTATTTTTTTCTTTCAAATGATAGATTCATGGCATCCGGAATGATCTTGATAAAGAAAGAGGGGATTCTCAAAAGAAAATTCGCAAACTGGAAGAGACTTTGAAGTAAGTGACTACGGAGTAATTATTGAAACATCCCCAATTTTTCAGACAAATCTATTAAACTAATGTTTTATCTCATTTAACTGCCTTTCTAGAATTTGTCTGTGTTATCTTCCCATTGTAAAGCCACATCTTCAGGGTTCTAGTTAGCCATAAAAATGAAACAAGTGAAGCAAGAACCAAACCACTCAAATTTGTTGTCTTTCAAGTGTTAGGAGTAAAACAGAGTTGAAGTTAGTGGTGTCAGCTGGTCTTGCCCTGTCAAATAAATGAAATTGTCCTCAATGTAGAATGGATACAAAGTAAGCAAATAATCATAGCTAAAGACTAGTTGATTTGGACTATTTTAGAGGAAGGGATTAATTTGAAAGATTTATTTATTTTAAATATATTTTAACTTAATTTAGTATATGATATTTGTGATAACGTGGATAATCCACTTTAATGTGGAATTTTCCTCTTTGATACCACACTTTTATGTGTGAATACTTATTTTTAAAATGTAGGTAAGGCTCAGAGAAATGGTCTACATAAAGCAGAAGACACTTTTCATTAACTGACTTGGAACAGCTTTTTTGCTGACCTTGTACATTTAAAAAACTAACCGCAAGTTTGATGTTTTCTGAGCAGAGGAGTGGTTTACATACAGCAGATGCACGTAATGACAAGAGTGATTCTTGTTATGCTGCTTCCATTTTTATTAAGTAAAATATTATTTACATATGTTTATCCAGTTTAGTTCAAAGTTATGGAAATAATTTCTAGGGAAAACGGATTATTCTGCAACAAACCAGAAGTTATTTGCTAAAACTACTCAGTTAAATGTTACAATGTGTCTTATCTAGGCTGATAGAGGCATAGTGAAGATACTTTTATTCAACAAAAGTCACAGGGGTGAAGTCTGTATTTCTTTATTTCTATAATCTCTTAGGTATTTGGCATAAATAGAGACTATCTTAAATCCCTACAGACTTTAATAAAAAATGTAGCTTTTAATCTTTAAATTCTTTACACTGACTATTATTTATAATTTTAGGGAGACTGAATTGTTATCAACTAAACTTAATCTTTTAGTATGTGAATGTCTGATTCATTGATAATGTAGTTGCATTCATTATTTTCCGTGTTGTTCAAATAACATGGCAGTTAACACTTACTTATGTTAATAAAATAAGTGACTTTTCTGAGCAGCCAGTGGCCTGTATTTATGCCCCATATGGGTGCTCTCCGTGCAGAGTAAAGGTGGTGGTAGTGTTCCACCTCGGGCAAGTGTTTGTCAAGTGATTTAGTGTGCTGTGGATTCTGAACTTACTTTTAATTAGCAGCACTGTGCTGAGAAGCTCTTGTAGATGGCTGAGGAGGTCTTCATTTATTTCAGATATTCCCTACCTGTAATTAGGCATAGATGTAATGCCTGGGTTATAGTAAGGGTTTGAAATACTGAAGTTTCACGAGCCCAGTTTTCCTGTGGATGCCTCAGGGCCCACAGGTTCAGATGATGTTGGCAGAGGCCAGTCCCAGCCTTGTGCTTCGTGTGAGTGGGGTCCTTTGGCCAGATGTGAGGATGGGTCAGCCTCTGATCGAAGAGTCCTTGAGACTGCACGACAACTTAAAAGGATGTTGAGACTGTTTCCCCTACAGCGAGTGATAAATTTCCAGTTTTCAAAGTGTCTTCTAACGTAAGCTACTTCCAATCATATCGTAGTGTGCTTTTCCCAGGTTTGCTTCCATGTCCTATGGCACTCTGATTCTGTTATGCTTTTTCTGTTTTTTTTTTTTTTTTTTTGTGTTTTTTTTTTTTTGTTTTTTGTTTTTTTTTGTGTTTTTTTTGTTTTGTTTTGTTTTTTTTTATTCAGGGTGTTGAAAATGATGTAGTGATTTCTAATGTTAAATTTAAAATGGAAAATGTTTTGATTTTGTAGATAGGTAGCTTACTCTTTAATAATGAATCTATTCTACTGTTGTTTTGGTTGTCTTATAGCAGTGATTTGGGGTTAATCTTAAGGTTACTAATGGAATTAGTAAGCTAATAAGTAATTATTTTGTAACTGAGTAGAAATAAAGATTAGCTTACATCCATGTGGAGACAGAAGTTGGTAGGTTGAATTTGTGCTCATAAAGATTAAAAATACTGTATTTACAGAAACATAATGCCCTAGTCTAAGCCCAGCATATATTCTGCTGGCTGGTTCTTTCAGACTTCAACTCCAGTGCAAAACCTCTGCATCTTGCATCTCTGCTCTTCTGATCATGGATGTGTCTGTGCACACGACTGTTAAGAACAGACTCACGTGCCCGGTATAGAGGAGCTGCTAATCCTGCAAGGCTGACTTTCTGGAAACTAAGCCATTAGTTTAGTGCCAGTGTTTCTGGACAATATTAAGCTTTTACACGTATGTGTTTATCTATGATATGTAAGTAATACATACCAAGCAGTAATATTTTTGTGTCAGAAATGGACAGCTTCCTTACGTTTCGTTTTGTTTTGTTTAGTTTTTTTTCCCACTGCTGCAAAAATTAGTCTTTTTAGCAGTCTCTTGCTATTAATATAAATCCGCAAGATCTAATGTTTTATACGAAAATGCTTTATTTTTCTGTATTTCTTTGAATATTTGCAGAATGAAATTAAGTAATTACAAGCTAATGCAGACACAGTGAACCTTTAGAAAACAACCTTATATTCCTTGAGATGGGTGAAAATACAGTTCACTATCTTCAATAGAAACGATGCCTTGTGGAATTGCAGCTCAGAACCCAGTAGGTGCATCAGTGATTCCTCATAAACTACTTTGATCTGAATGCACTTTGATTTTGAAATGGCCACAGGATTATATCTTGAGTAGCTAGTCAGCTGCATATACCTAGAAAGGGAAGTGGCAGGCATTTTAGTGGGGATGATGATGATGATTATTGTTACTTTTTTTTCCAGTGGTGTGACAGCAAACTATGCTATTGTGGTTTCAAACATATCCACACAGATGCATAATGAAAGTGATTTGAGACATTGTGTGGAATATTAAAAACCACAGTTCTAAAAGTATCTTTCACTTCAAAAAAATAGCGTTACCAGAGTTTTAATACTGAATGAGGGTTTACATAGTTTATGGAAGGTATTTTTTTTTTTTCTTCTTCTGAAGTTTATGATAGAAATATCTGTCAAAAGGAAAGCTTTTGCAAAAGATTTGGTCTCATACTCATGACTACTGGTGATAACTCATAGATACACATTTTATATTTAATTCAGCAATGTATGTCATAGGCATTGCCTAATAGCAAAAGTCACTATAAGAAGTGCTCCAAGGGTTTTTTTGGAATATAATTTGAACTGCATTTATACAATAACAAAGTATTCTTAAAAAGCTTCTGTGTAATTACTTGGGGGGAAAGGTTGTTTCTTTAATCCCTTCAGTTTCATTGTATAAAATATGTCATGGGAGTGGGTGACAAATAGTCTGAATCTCTGTGGTTCTTATCGCTTTTACTTTAAGTACAGGAATAGGAAATAAAAAGGTATAGTTATATTACAATTTGTCACACTACAGGCTGAGTTGAATACAACAGAAAAAAAAATAAGCAATAAAATCTGTATCCATTTGTTGCTGAAGAAATTACATGGAAGAGAAAGAAAAGGTCTTGCTAAATTTATACAACACTCTTATCCAGACCAGCTCTCAACATGATCTGTTGTGTCTTGCTCTGAAATGTGGGCACATATTTACAAGAAATATTTATTTTACCTCTGCTAATATTTTAATATCCAATTACTTTGTAATTTTAATTTTACTAGGCTATAGGGAAATATTTCCTATTTTATTGAAGAATTGAAATATAGAAGCTTAGAGACTTGTGGCAGTTTAGGCAACTGGAAACAGGCATGGCCTTGATGTGGTTTTAAAATGAGGCTCGGACATGTATGTTAAAGGCTCTGACAGTTTTTACTCCTATTTCAGTGATCATTTTTGAAACAACTTTACTTATCTGCACTTGTCTAATGTTTCCAACACTAGTATTGCAGGTGGAGGACTTAGGGAGTTTTCTAAAGACCTAACACAGAGGTCTAAAGACCTCTTTTCCACAACAAATAATTGTGTTTTAAAAATGTTTAAGTATTTAAGCAACACTTAGTTTGGACCTGTTCTGCACGTTCTCTAGCTGTGAAGACTCTTGCTCTGTCTATAAGTAGCAGTTTTTAGTAAATATCTGTCCCAATTTCTAAACAAAACCTCTGAAGTTGTATCTAACTTTTTTTAATTAAAAGATGTAAGCATTCTGAGCTGTTAATGCTGTAGTTTGATGTGTTGATCACAAATACTAAATTATATTCCTTTTCAACAAAAGTAGTACGCAATAATGACTTTTGTTGATACTAGCTGTCAAAGAGGAACTCTAGCCCTTTCGCTATAGAATTGTTTGAAGACATATTGAAAGTACTATTTAAAAAAAAAATTCCTTTATTATTGTTTGGTTTGGTTCCAAAATATCATTGTGAACTACAGACCAACAGTCTTCCTAGTCATTGCCATAATTACAGAAATAATTATAGGAGTAATTTAATGCAACAGCAGTGAGAGTGCATGTTCAGTAAGGACCTCGGAGATAAGTATATATTACATTCACGATTTAAATATTCAGAATTTAATGTTAGCAGGGTAGTCATAGCAATGAACCCGAAGGCTTCCCATGGCAGTATCACAGTTCTGTGCCAGACGTTATTTGTAGCCAGTAGAAGTGTATATACTTTAAAGCTGGCCTCGTTTATTTGCTGGTAAACAGAAACTTAGAACATTGTTGCTTAAGATCAGAGGTAACAATCTCTTTTATGATCCAGAGAAGGAGCAGAATAGCCATGTGCATCATTAGTGTTTATATACTCCATCAGTGTACAAGATATAACTGCCAGCTTTGACCTACATCAAGGAAGATATCAGGTGTACAGGAGGAAACATTTGGTTTACAGCATTTAGTTTGAAGTCCATTTATATGTTATTAGTAACAATATATAA